CTGCCCTGCCTGCGCTGCCTGTCCTGCCTGCGCTGCCTGCGCTGCCTGCCCTGCCTGCCCTGCCTGCCCTGCCTGCCCTGCCTATGCTTCCTGCCCTGCCTGCACTGCCTGTGCTGCCTGCCCGTGCTGCCTGCACTGCCTGCACATTTGCAGCACATGTGGCATTGCACTCTCACGGCGTTGCACACCCACAGCACTGTGCACCTGCAGCGTTGCATGCTCGTGGCATTAGACACTCGCAGCCTTGAGTGTGTACAGGATTGCATGCTCACAGCATTGCACACTCACAGCATTGCACACTCACAGCGTCACACAGCTGCAGCCCCACACGCTCACAGCACCACACACTTGCAGCACCATGCACCCAAAGCATTGCACACTCACGGTGTTGTACACTTGCCACCTTGTACACTTGCAGCCTCCCATGCTCCCAGCTTTGTGTGCTCAGGGCCTCACATGCTCGCAGCATTGCACGCTCGCGGCATTGCACGCTCACAGCATTGCACGCTCGCAGCCTCACACCCTGGCAGCGTTGCAGATGTGCAGCCCCTGCTCCCACCCGCAGGCTGGGCCATGCCTCCACTTTCAAAGGAAATTTCATTCTGATTTCTTTTCCTTTTTAGCAAAATTAAATTCATCGGAGCCGAGGCAGCAGCGGCGCGGGTGTGGGTTGGCTTGCAATGACTTTGCCCAAGGAACAAACGCCCTCGAACAGCGTTTGCCATGTTTGCCATGTTTCCCAGTGCCTTCCTCCTGCCGTGGACTCCCTGGGAGGGAAATTGGGATTTGTTTGCTAAGCCAAGGCAGCAAATGAGCATTTTGGCAGCAGTTCGCCATGTGCTTTTAGCACTGGGGGTGGCTTTGGTGCTGGCTTGGGGACGATTTCTTGCTCTCATGAATGTCCCTGTCCCCAAACCCCAACTTGTAGCAGGGAGCCAGGGCCGGAGTGGGGATGGATAGGGAAACTGAGGCAGGGATGGCGCCATCTGCCCCCACACCTGCTCTGCACCCCCAGCTGCCCCCGTGCCCCCCAGGGCTCTGCCT